GTGAACTGGCTTTTATTGTAAAATGGAATGGAACGGTTTTTGTAGCATGGATTATGACGGTTTTTAATATTAATGACTTGTTAAATTTTGGATGGAATGGAATGTTTCATTAAAGATTGTTTTTCGAACGGAGAACTAGTCTTTTGTAGTTCAATTGGGCGATGAGGGCGAGGGGGGCAGAGCAGTTTTTAATTGTAAAATAGAATGAAACGGTTTTTTATAAAATAGACACTTATGACACTTTTTTAATGTTAATGGATTATTAAATTTTGGAGAGAATGGAATATTTCAGGAAAAATTGTTCTGCGAACGCCGAACAGAGAACTATTTTTTTTTACTTCAGTTGGTTGAATGAGGCAAAGAAATTTTAATAATAAAAGGGAGTGCTACGATTTTTTTTCAATTTTAGTGATTCATTGATTAGAAAATCAATAAGTCACTAAAATTGAATTTTCATTCCTGGTGAGGACCAAAACTAAACTCAATTAAGTTTCAATGAATAATTACAAGTATTATCAATTGAATTTTGCTGAATTTAGCGAGAGGTTTTTGGCAGTGGGCATTTATGGGATGGGACACATGAATAGGAATTGGGCCCGGGGAAATGAGGAGTTCAAGCAGAAAGAGAATAATAAAAAAAGAGAGAAATGATTTTTCTTCGATATTTTGAGTAACGGAGTCTGGGAAATGAGTCACACTGGAAGAAATAAAATTTTTATGTCACTCATGCTTCATTTAACACGGAACGACACGTCGAATAATCTAAATATTCCTGAATGGGGTGGGTTGATCGTAAAACTCAGGATTGTATTCAAAATTTTCTTAGCGATTTTTCCATTATGAAAAATGACATTTAAAGTTGAGCTGGATTTTTATTGAAATTTTGATATGTATTAGATCGCACGCGTGCGCTGGTCTATCTTTATAGTCCTTGTACTTGTGGGAACTTTTCATTTCCCAAAAAAAAATTAAAATCAATGATGAGGATGAACGATAAATGAAAAATTAATTAATAATTTTCCATTTTTGACAAATTCTCATTCACTTTTCGAAAGAAACTGTTATAAATCGATTCTCTAGAAAATTGGATAATTTTCGAAATTTTTCTGTAATGAAAAAAAAGATTGTTAATTTCCTAAAAAAATTCAGAAACCGGGAAATTTTGCCGGTTTTTTAGAATTTAGAGCCTGTACCCAAGCCAAAAAATGGCAGAGAATCAAATTTGTGCCAAAGTTAATTTCAAATTTATGAAAATATAAGAAATAAGAATTAATCAATTTCCCGCATCATAAACATGAGAAAATTGTAAATGATGGCTGAAAGAAAAATTCGCGAATTTGAAAATACCGCGTGTTTTTCAGCGACTAACTTCACATGACTCCTCCACCAATCAGAATCGAGGATTAGCACTCCGTCAGTTTCGATATATTTCGATCTAAAACAACTTCACGAAGCTTTCATCTTTCCCAAACAAAAAATCGATCCGATTTTTCTTCTAAAAAAAATGGAAACGAATTTGTTGATGAAAGCACCGCGCGCCGCCGCTAGAATAGCCGAATGATTTATTTTCCACGGATAAAAATAGGAATGGATAACAGAAAAATCGAATGAATAAATGAAATCAGATGAAAAATCCCAACTGGAAAATACAACCTCAAGATTTTGTGAAGTGAGAGCGTATATATTCTCGGAAGAAACTCAGGGGCGCTGACTATTCGCAAATCCACTCTCTCGCCGCCGCATTTTACGATCGCCTCTCATCCCCCTTTACAGTGCCGAGGGGCGAGGGAGGGAGAGAGAGTGCCCAACACACTCGAAGGAAAAGGCACTTCCGCCTAGACACGGAGTCGTCGTCACTGTCACGTATATAATCCTCACGCACACGTACAATTCACCGAGTATTCCTCCCCCCCCCCTCCCCCGATTCCTTATACGTTGAGTTGAAACTTCATCGCACGATTCACCAGATTTTATTTCCTTAAATCCAAAAAGCCGACGACGGATTTTGGTTAACTACCGTCCAAGACGGTTGGGGGTCGGTTTGGAGGTACATAAAATTGTTCGTGAGTGAGATAGTTTAGTGCACTCCAAAATCCGATCACCATTTCTCCATTATACATTTATTTCTCCTTCACCCGTCCTCCCACTCGCGTTGTTTTCCAATAAAAACGAGAAAAAAGACTTCTTAAAAAAAATTTGTTCTTTTTTTCCGGTGCAAGAGAAAAAACGTCGATTTTTTCAATAATCGAAGTTTATCCAGAAGAATCGATTCGCAACATCGATGTTTTTAAAGACATCGCCCATCCCCAGGTGGCGCTGGTCGACAGTAAATCTCCCTCATCCGCGAGTGAAAACAAAACCGTCGTCAGTGCCTACCCCAATAAAAATAAACTTCCTTCGCGATCGCTGGGAGGAATTCGCGGGAACAAAAACTGCTCAGTCCGCTCGTCACTATCGCGCCCATTCACTGATAATTCTTTCGTCTCCGATAAACACAAGAATAATGAACATCTCTATTTGCCCCTTCCCCCGGGCCGACCGTTTGTACTCACACACGTGCCTTTTATTTGGTCTGTGCATCAATCAGACGTTCAACCAGTGGCGGTAGACTGTGTAGCTCGGACTGAAACATTGTACACAATCCGTCGAGTGAGTTTAGTGAGGTTATTTGTGAACTCGCATTCAAGAGTGGGCGCTGGCCTCTTGATGAGCCTATTAAGATACATGTGTCGTCGATTTGGGGAATATAAAGAGACTCGCACCACCGCACGAGGAGACACACGATTCTCACGATCGCTTGTCAACCAGGTATTTTGTTTATAAATAAACCGGGGAAATGACGAATGACGTCAAAATCAACAGGGGGATTTGGGGCCAGATTTTGCTTGTTTTTTTTCCTCGTGTATTCGTAGAACGATGAATGGGTGTTTACGTGACGAACAATGACGCCCGATTTCTTCTGCTTTTGGAAATAAACTTAGTTTTTTATTCCAAATTTTTGAGTCTGAGCGGACTGACAGAGCGAAACAATCGACCACTTGAATTTCAAGGATTGTAATAGTTCATAACAAAATTATAAAAGTGGAATTTCAGGGAGATTTGGGTGGTGGTGTTAAAAATTATGAAATTTCAGATCGAAATGAAAATTCAATGAAACTCCAAATTTTTGAGCAGCAGAAAGATGAGTGGCGCAAATTACCTGATTTAAAAAAAATTAAAACTTGAATATTCAATTAAATATCCAATTAATTCAAAATTTAAGAACATATTTACCTAAAATCTTCTGATTTCTATTAATTTCAACAGAATAATTGACTTCAAATTTACTGTTTCCCCGAGTGTTTTAATATCATTTTGAATTATCAGTGACGAAATTCCTTGGCATTTCAATAGAACTATGATGTGATAAAAATGTCCAAGAAGTGGTGAGAAAAATTTGGGCGGCTCGAAAAATTGCGTGCTGATGCCTCTAAAGATGGTTTTGAACCAGGGGCGACTCCTAGAGCCCAATGTTCTATACATACTCCTAGACCCCATTGTCCTCCTAGACAATGATGTCACAACTCTGCTTTTCAATTGAAAACAGATATCATCTTTAGAGACATTTGTCATGTTTAGAGGCTCTAGCACGTCATTTCTCGACCCGCTCTTTCATTTGAGCCCAAAAAAACATTCATATCTTGTCTGACATCGCTGCTACAAACTCGGGTCTACAACTCGGGCCTTCAATTGAAAACCCGAGTTGAAGACCCGAGTTTGTAGCAAAGATGTCAGACAAGATATGAATGTTTTTTTGGGCTCAAACGAAAGAGCGGGTCGAGAAATGGCGTGCTAGGACCTCTAAAGATGGTTTTGAACCA